TTGTAGATTCATTGTAAACACTATGCTTTGGCAATACATTGTAACAATTGTCATGCCAATAAAGCATACATTGATCTATCTATCTATCTAGCTATCTATCTATCTATCATCTAAACTGCCCCTCCTCCACTAGGGGGCAGCAATAGTTTGGGTAGTTGAGTATAACGTCCAGAGACCCAACGTGTCGCATTTATGATCCAGTTTTAGAAACCGAAAAGTGAAACAGTTTGATCCAAACGTCATTATAAATTGATCACTTTACCATTGGACAAAAAGACGGTTCACGTGATGATATGCAACATATGTGGTTACTTTGAAACGATTTATTGTCACACAGAATATGTTCATAACAAAACATGTTTTCGCGTCTTAATCTGAAACCATTGAAAGTCTTTAATGTTTCCGATGGTTGTGTAAGTGCAGTACGACCGTACAATCCAATTTTACGTAAAATACAAAACTCACAATCAATAAAGGAAATTGCAGTGTTGGAATCGATTGTGAAAGCCAAAGCTCCTGTGGTTCATGGCATGGTTTGGTTCATAACGAAGCTGATTTAGGGGGCGGTTTGAGTTTTTCTTCACTCCAGCTCTTTGTCAACAAGTTTCCTCCTCCCTCTCTGAGTCTTGTGAGGAACAGTCACGGCCACGGGCTGTGGAAACTTGAGCAAACTTCACTCCAGCACAGACTGGGCGGAATAATGGCTGGACGTGTGAGCATAGGTTTGCTGAATTCTTTGGCCAGGGGAAATGTAATATTTAGGAACAAGAAATGTTTGCGCAAAAGTAAAAGTGTTGTGTTGATCTCACGGTGTCACGCCAGGTGTCTGTCCAGCAGCAGCAGCATCAGCGCGGCTCAACCGGACCTCAGCTCGCATCTCGCCGGGAAGACCTACTCGGATTTATATGAACTGTCAGTCAAAGATCCAGAAACTTTCTGGGGATCCATCGCCAAGGAAAGGCTGGCATGGACCAAACCTTTCGATCAAGTGACGGACTGCGATCTCTCCAGCGGGAAAATCAACTGGTTTCTTGGAGGGCAACTGAACGTCTCTGGTGAGTGTCACACCTTTCTTCTTTAACCGTTTATCGTGTTTCCATCGCTGATAAACCTCCACTGGCCTATATGCTAGATCAAATATTTTTTATCTATCAGAACAAACAGTCTTTATTTTAACTGAGATGGTAATACTTACATTTTCACATGCTGCTTTATAAATCCACAAAGAGCAACTTTCTTTCTTGTCAGCAGTAAGCATAGTAGTAATTTCCTATTACAATGATTGACAGTGAACTGTTTGGATGTACACGTGGCAAAGGATCCAGACAGAGTAGCCTTGATTTGGGAGAAAGATGAACCTGGCACAGAAGAAAGGATCACATACAGGTACATTTGAAGGTCCTGAGAAATTGACATGTGGCTCTTTACCCCACCCCCAGACTTACATTTTCAACACACGGGTTTTGAAGCAAGCAGTTTTTACATATTTCTCTTTAACCTAACTAACTACTTTCATTATGCTGTTATTTTAGATTTGCCGGTATATAATTTATTCAAATAGTGACTGGCAATCAGTTAAACACTACTGCCTACTGATTACATACTTGTTGCCATTGCCAATAGTAACAAGTTAGCAGTTATATTTGACTATTTATATAATATTATAGCATTTATTTAGTTGTATGTATTTATATTATAGTATTTTGTATAGTTGGCTTTTTATATATAATGTTTTCATTCTAATTTTAGTAATTTTGTTATGCACTTGTCATTTTTATTAGTTTTTGTTTTTCAATATTTCTGTTTAGCTTAAATATAATATTTAAGTTTTAGTGATTTTAGTATGTCAGCTTTATGTCAGTCAGTTATGTCATTTTTCATTTGTCTGTTCATCTAATATTTATATTTTATTTATTTTATTTCAATTAATGAAAACGTTTTTAATAGTTTCAGTAAACAGTAACAGCAATGCAAGTTATTGTTCCAGTGGTATTGAGAGCAAATAGCATATTTTCCTAATTAATTCTGCTCACATAAGACTAGGATGGTAGGTTTTCATTTAGATTACCTTTACAGTCATCTAATGTCGCTTTTCCACTGCGTGGTACGACTCGGCTCGGCTCGGCACGGCTCAGTACGGCACGGCACGGCACGGCACGGCACGGCCCGGTTCGGTTTGCGTTTCCACTGCAGTTCAGTACCGCT